ATGTGATGGTCCACAGGATCTGGTCCCACTTTTTACCCCCTAAACCTCAGATGCTGAAGTCAAACTTCACTTCCTGTTGTCTGCACTGTAAAAAATATACCAGTTTTTTAGCCAAAGAACATGAGTATGTTGCTTTGAATTTACTCAACTCAGTTAAGTGGAACCAGGTAACATAACATGGTTAAGTAAATCCAACATTTCATTTTTAGAGTGTGAGCAATGCATGTCACTAGTTTCTCCATACAGGAGATGTCTTGAAGCTGTCATTGATGTATGGATCACTTGGGTTACTTGTTACCAACATCTGGTGAAAATTTCATGTCATTAGCACCTCTAGTTAATACTGTATATTTACTGAGAAAAATGGTGACGTGTTCAATACTTATTTTACCTGCTGTAAGCTTTAGTAGTACACTGAAAGTACATTTTTTCACACAGACTGGTTTATTTGTAGTATATTTTAAGATTAAACTAAAAGTATACTTGGAAGATTAGCTTACTGTCAGTATACTTCTAAGTATATACTTTCATAAAATAATTGTGTGTCAATCGTCCTAGAGGAAGGCCCGTACTTGATAGTAAACTGCTAGTATATGCTAGTAGGCCTACATGGTAAATAAAAGTACACTTAGGAAAACACACTTCTAAATAATTTAGTATACTTAATGACATTTACTTAAAGTATCCTCTTTTGGTAAGTTTATAAACTTAAAAATGCACTATAACAGCATTCGTAAAGTTTGCTTTTTATAAACAAAAAAGTCCAAATTTAATACTTACAAACAAGTATTAAATCAGTATACTTTCTATTACACTACAAGTGCATGGTGCCTAATACTTGATATACTTAAACTTATTCTCAAGTATACTTATTGAAATGAACTTCAAGTATACCATTGGTTTAGCTCTTCTTCCATCCCACCGTGGCTCATGATCAAAACTTCAAAAATGCTTTGTTTAAGACAGGAAGTCATTCCCAACCCTACGCATGTCCAGTCGAGCACCACAGCTTTAAATTTGGGAAGAAAAAAAAAACAACTGGTTCTACTTCCCACTCGACTGCAGCTTGGCCAAATGCACGGACATCAACAGGACTACATCATCCGCAAAAATTAAGAGGMGKGACCCTGAGGTTCCMAAACCAGAGACCCTCCTCAGCACCACAAACMGGACTCGAGATAAGGGACAGCCATGGCAGTCAGGAAACACAGCTCAACTGTGTGACGTAAACTAGCTATACATAGCTTGGCTATACATGAACCGGCTACRACAGGCCATGCCCCTGCAGCACCCCTCCCAGTAAAATATATCTCAGGGAACATGAYCTGAAGACTTTTCTAGGTCTATAAAACATGTAGACTTTAGTGTGATCTCCTCAGGACTCTGCAAAGGTGAAGATCTGGGGTCGGATTTATAAAGCTTGCATATGCACAAAATGAGCCCAGAAACTTGCGTACGCCACTTTTCATGCCAAGGTTGTGATTTATAAAATTCAAACTTGACGTGAAAATGTGCGGTGCCTCAGCCAGCTCTGACCCATGCGTACGCTCATTTTGGAGACGTGAAACTGTGACACAGATGGTGAAGTGAGGAATTAGAGCCACACTGTGTAATGATCACTGTCAGATATTCAGCTTTATCATCAGCTTTCTTAACAGTAATATT